GCCCAACGCTGCTGCAGGTGCTGGGCGTACATGGAGCCACCCAAGCCAGGCCTATTAGAAAAATCAAAGTGGTAAGTGTTAGGCCACTCCTACACCCAACGAAGGGGGAGCAGGGCTGGACTCCAGGATCATAGTGAAGAGTGCACAACTGGGTAACAGAGAAAAGCTAGTGTGAAGTCGCCATACCGGCATCTATTGGCTGGCACAAACCCAACAGCACTCACCCCTAAGTTCAGTGATACCAAGAGCACCTTGAAGCTCTGGAGACATTCAACCCCATGCTCCCCGCCTTCAGCATCCCTAGCACCATGTCTTCTGGAACATTCTCATGCTTTCCAGAACTAAGACCTAGTCTATATTTGTCAAATACATACACATTCTTTAAACCTCCCTTGCAAGACTAAGAAGCCAGGACTCACATCCACCCTATCAGAAAAAATCAGAGCTTGGCCACTCACCCCACAGGTAGACACTCCCATGCTGGCGGCACTGGAGCTGCAGCACAGGCCAGGCCTGAGACCCTGCGGCTCTAGCCACCTCCTGAGCTTCTCAGACGCCAGTAAACACCCCTCTCGGCCTTCAGAACTCAGAGTCTACATCCTCAAGGCAATCCCAGCAGGTCCAACCTTCAATTTAACTTAGGGGTGACGATTGGTCAAGAACCCAAAATAGAGGGACATTTTCTGAATTTCCACCAACAGATTTAACCAATAAAAGGTCTGAGAAGGTTTCTCTGCACTTTATTTTCCTTCGGGCTCACAGTCTGCCTAGGAGGTGTGAGCGCTATAACCCTGGGTTAGAGGGACCTTTAGAAACTTGAAGTCAGGGCCCCGGTTTCCATGACGTGGAAGGGGCCAAGCTGGTGTCCAGCCCTGACTCCCGATCCTATGTGTCCTTCCTCCCCACCAGCGTGCCCCCTGGCTGTCCCCGCTTGGCCATCAGAGCCAGGTCCATGTGACCAAGTGCTTCCTTAGACTCCTCTCCAAGCAGCTACACCCTGTCTGAGGACCTTCTGGCCTTCTGGGAAGCTAAACGCAGCAAAGGAGACCACAGAGGATGAGTCTGAATTCTGGCCCCAACCTGATCAAACGCCTGGTGTCAGACAAGCCCACAAGTGTCCTGGGCCTCGATGTGCCCCTCTGGAAAAGGACAATAAACGTCGGCCAGGCACGTGGTCATCACAGCCTGGGGTATCATAACATGCATGGCAAAGAATCTGTCTATAAGCAGGAGAGTGAACGAACAGATGTTTAGTCCTAAAACAGAATGCCACAGATAAATTGAGTAAACTAGATGTACATGTCTCTCTCTATATAACTGTCAACTATGTATAGTATATATGTGGCCTATATATTAATCTTGGGAAGTTAAATCATATATTTACTATAGATAAATATAGAAGTGCATATAATATGTAAATATATATTATATATCCTTACCCATTTAAATATATATTTATAATTAAATGTTAATATATGTTGAGAAGGATTAATTTCAAAAACTAAGAGTAAATAAAGCAAAATACAGACAGAAGCCTTGTAATACCAATATGGTGGATATGCCATATTTTTATGCTTATATGCCTGTTTACCAAAACAACAAGGTTATTCTTTGGGGTGATACCCAACAGTCTTGGGGTACCATCTCCTCTGTGGAAGGGTGAAAGGGAAGGCTGTGAGTAGGAATTTTGGGGCTTCTGAGAAGACAATGTGACCACATTAGGTACAGTTCAGGTTTCAATAAGTTTCAGTCATGTAGGGTTTTTCACAATGAATCCTATTTTAGCTGCGCCATGTAGGGTTATACTTAAGGGCAAAGCTGAATCTTGCCTTAGCAAAGGATCCTTCTGTTATGTAGCTAGTCAACCCCTAACTCTGTCTCTATACTATGGTAGTGTTTTGAAAATGGTTTCCAAAGATGCTTGTTCCTTCCATAGATACCAAGTGAGGTCAGTTCTGTGAGGGTCACTGTGCTTGGTAGGCTGGTGCAGAAGGAAACAAAATAAAGATGACCCCTGTCCTCGGACAGCTTACAGTAGAGAAGAAAACTAAATAAATGATGGCAAATTCTATCACAGACATGAACAGGGTTATGATCAAAAATAAGCGAGAGGAGGCAGACTGCTTCTGTTCTCCACGACATCTAGACGCCAACGCAAAACGGAGGTCTTCAAGCAGCACATAACTGTGAGTGGACAGGAAGCACTTCCCGTGGGTGCCAAAGGGCAGGTCGTGCCTGTGTGGCCTCATCCACACAGCTGGCAGGGGGTGCTGGCTGCTGCCCAGGAGCTCATCCAGGCCTCGGCTCTCATCCACAAGGACCTCCCCAGGAGGCCCTGCGAGCTTGGTGGCCAGTTTCAAGGACTCTCCTAGTAGGAAAACACTCATCTAGTAGAAAGAACTCTTCTAGTAGAAAAGCTTCAGATGTCATGAGGCCAGTCCCAAAATCTGTTCCACTTCTACCATATTCCAATGGTCAACATAATTATGGGGGCATCCCAGATACAAGGGTAGGACAATTAGACTCTATTACTTCTTGATGGGAGCATGGCTAAGAATGGACAGCCTCAGTAACACACAGCAGCAGGGACTGACTCGAATTAAGGAGGACTGGTTTTCCTAGCCATCCCACATGACCATCATCAAAAGGACATCGCTAGGAAGCCCTGCATTAGGGAAACCTCCCTGGTGGCACAAGGGGTTAAGTCTCAGCACTATGAAGCTATCCACAGCCACTGTAGCACGAGTTCCACCCCTGGCCAAGGAGCTGATCCACATGGCACAGCAGACCTCTCCTGTCTCGTCTGCTACTCCCCCCAGCAGTGTACTTCAGTCAGTCTGCCTGTTCTGCTCCCCACTCTGTCTCTGGGGAATCCTCTCACCCCCCACACCTCTGGCCTGTACCCCAGTTCTTGTATGCATAAATAAATCTTTAAAAAGAAAGAAAAATAAATTATAAAAAAGAAGTCCTGCATTAAAGAATGATTTCACCTACCTTTTTAAAAATGCATCTCTTAGGTATTTATATTTATGTCTGCACACATTTTTCATTTATTTTAGCACAGTGTATTCCAAGGTTAGTTGACCACAGTGCTCTTATTTTCACAGAACTCTTGGATCTAGCATTTTTGCACTCCGTTTGGGAAATGACTGTTCTAAATGAAGTAGATTTTTTACAGATTGAAGTGGCTGAAAGCAGAGTCCAAATGACAGATACCTTATGTTCCTTGGATAACGAGTTCTTCCATGGAAATCAGAAATTAAACACTGTGACACAGCCTGCATGACACAGCCCAGGCCTGAGCCAGGAGGGGCTCAGTGGAGCGGGGCAGAGGACCCCAGCTTCTGTCACCTGCTCGGTCCCCAGATCCTCAGTGTTTCCCAGTTCATTTCTCTGGCCTGGGAATAACTGACTCTGGAATTTTAATTCGCGTCTAGCATGAAAACCTCCCAGCAATGCCAACAAGCTATCATACTACAACCACCTGGACAATTATTAGAGATGAACTGCTGTGTATTACATGAAAGACCAAAGCCCCTCTCTCGCGCACAGCCCAGCATCCAGCAGGCAGGCTGTGATGTTCAGCAGCTCGGCGGCCGTGTTGCAATTGAATTACAAGAGGCAAACAGCTCTGTGCTGATTTCATAATTATCATGATCTACTATTATGATCCATCACCAACAGAGCAGTTGGTGAAGCCACCATAAATCACCATTATTTATACTGCAACAAATCACAAGGAAGTATCATCAAGAATCATAATTCACACTTCAGATCATAATTACCTGCATGTGACGGCCTAGGTATGCTATGTCAGGAAGGAAGCTCGAGAGGAGAAAACAAAATCGTTGGCTGCTCCGTCCTGAAGGCTTGGCTTCACGAAGCCAGCTGAATTTAAGTTTGCAAATGAGAAGAGAAGCCAAGGAATGCCCCAGGGCCTCCCACCCCACACCCACATGCAGGGCCTGTCCTGAGACCTTAGAGCACACGCAAAGCAGGCACCTTCTAGGGTCCACCTTTGGCATGGACGCTGGCTGACCTTACGACCTCTTGGTTTGCCACCACGTCCTGCGAAAACCAGCTAAAGAAACTCGGGGTGCTTATGGTAGAGGAAACAGGACCCCCAGGAAGGAAATTCTAGGACCGTTGTCACAGACCCGTGCTGCTTCCCCAGGAGTTGAGCTCCGGCCTGTGGGGCTCTGGGGGCCTGGCCAGTCCCGTGCTGTAGACCAGACCACAGCTCGAAAACGGGGCTAATGCAAGCAGTGCCCGGGCTGGGGGTGGTCACTGCGGGTCCTCAGGCTGCAACAAAGCGGGGTGCACTGTCAAGCGGGAGACTGGGGAAAGACAAGAGCTTCTCAGGCCACCCACCAGAGCCGGCTGTCTCACCCCCGCGGCTGGCCGCGGCGTCCAGCGTCCCAAGCGAGGGCCACTCGTGCAGGACGGCGCGGCCCGCGTGGAGGGCCCGGGGCGGCTGGGGGCGGCCAGCGGTGGCTGGACCAAGACCCAGCTCGGGGCGGGCAGCGCCGGGGCCCGCAGCCCTGCAGGCGGCAGGGTCGGCTGTCAGAGGCGGCCGGACGCAGGTCAGCAGCGCCCAGCGCGCCCGAGTGCGGGCGGGAGTGTCCACGGGCGCAGCGCAGGGCGCGGGGAGGCTGCGGCCGCGCGACCAGCTCCAAGGAGCCGGCACCCCAGGCCTGAGGCTCAGGCGGGAATGACCCCCAGTGCCCAGCTAGGCCTCGGGCCCCGCCTCGCAGGCCTCATTGGCACTGGCGAGTCCTGCTGCCCCATTGGTGCCCCGCGCTCCAATCAAGCCAGTCCTAGCCACGCGCGCACCCCACTGGGCCGGGCCTGCGCGCTGGGCGCCCAGGAGCGGCCGCGAAGCCTCGGGCCTTGCGCAGCCCGCCAGGCCGGACCCAGGCGCGTTTCTGCGCCCCGAGATGCTGCAGCTCCCGGGCTGGCCTCAGGCTGCAGGCCGCAGCCCTGCAACCCACCCGCCGGGCCCTGTGGCTCCTGATTCAGCTCCAGGTAGAAGCTGGACCAGGTGAGCACGTCCGAGTATTTGCAGCCCTGCGAGTATTAGGGGCCGGAATTGCCATGTTGGAATCTGAGGCCTAAGGACCCGGCACTGCTGAGCCCGCCTTTATTCAAAATGGTGATTGCTGTGGTTCATTTTGATTTTTTAAATATGGCATTAAATAGTATTTAATGTTATTACATATCACACTAAAGTATTGTTAAAACATTGGTGAGGGGTTTGGGGGTTTATTTTTTACTGTTGTTTGTTTTTGCTTTTTTTTTTTTTTGGTGGCTCACTACATTTTATACCCTAGAAAATGCGTCCGCTGCTCATTCTGCTCCTATCCTGTGTGCTTTTTTCTCCATGATCCTGTGAGGCAGATAGTTACCCCCATTTTAGGGATAAGAATCTGAAGGTCAGTAACTGGATCAAGTTATGTTCTGAGCAGACCCGAAAGCCCACTGGGAGTAAGAAGAGCTTAGTGCTTCTATTATCTTTTCCTTTATTCACAGTCTACGCTCTAGAGATGACTAAGGAGGCTGAATTAGACTGAGTTCCAGTTCAGAGGCAGAAACCTAGAGTCACAATTTGGTGTAACAAAAAGGAGATTGGCCTTGTGTCCAGTTTTTATTTACTTTCAAGCAGGAACTCTTATCAAAGGGTCTACAAAAAGTCAGTTGCCTTTATGAGGTCCACAGACTCCCCCAAAATTATATGAAGAGGTGTGTGTGTGTGTGTGTGTGTGTGTGCGTGTGCGTGTGTGTGTTTCTGGACAGAGGAACTAAAGGTTTGATCCATTCTCAAAAGGATCCTTGATCCCCAAAAGTTTAGAAGCTCTGATTTCCGAGCACTTGAGTAACTTGTACTATAAAGTCGTATAGTAAATGATGCATAATGACCTATTAATTGTATCTCTGTCACAACCAAGGAGTCTCCATGACAACAGCAGGCAGTTCTTGGAAGCAGAGGTCCGAGAGAATCCTGGCTTCATCTTGTCCCTCTGTAGATGCCTGTTCAGCATGATTTTTTAAATGGCTCCCCTCAAAGACCTTTCTAGGCCAGCTAGTCCCAAGCTCAACCCCACTTTAATTCTGACAAAGGTGAGGCTTAGGAAAAGGGTGTGACCTATTTCCTTTCCCCCAGCAGGTTGGGTTAAAGCTACAGTCCAACTCCTGAGCCCCCTTCTCCACGGAGCACCTGGCTTGTTTCACGGGCACACCTAGAACCCTCACCTGGCCAACTGCCCAAACTGCACGTTCAGGTAAGGGCCAAACCCTTGGGACACAGAGCCAGTGCGTCACATCCCTTAGCTCCAGGTCACATGAGATGCAAACCCCACCCTTTGGATGCTCTCCAGTGGGAACAAAAGAGAACATAGCTAGAGACTTCTGCACCAAGCCAGGAACTCCTGTCAGTTTGGGATTCAGAATTAACTTCTGTGTATTGATGCCATTCTCAGAATCTTCTGACTTCTTTCTCAGACCTAATTTCTAAAGAATTTTTCTCTGAAGCCAAATCCTTTCAGTGGTGATTACTCTTCAAAAATTAAGAAAAATCTGGCTTTGGATGAGTCACGTGGGGCCTGGTGTCAAAGATGGTAAATGATCCCCTTTGGAAAGCAGATGGCTTTGTAGCATACTTTTCCAATACCTAAATTAGGGAAAGCAAAGAGAAATGGTGTGAGGATGGGTCACTGGGTACATAAAGAGGTCTCAGACCTCAAAGAAGAAAAAGGATTTAACAGGGTAATAAAAAAATCAAACAAGATCATTAATAAACCTAAACAAATTTAAAGTGAAGGCTCTTACACAGTGGCCTGTTGTGTGTTGGGAATCAGAAATGATGTTCAGCACCTCATAGGAGGTACAGAGAAATAAGAAGTAGCTGCTGCCCTCAGGGAGGTTACAGTCTGGTTAGCAAACTAAGCACAAAATATAGCAATGACCCGTGCAAGATAGTCCATCCCCACGGAGTGGACAGCTGCCGGTGTGAGTGGGTCAGCAGTGGTGGTGAGGCTTCCATTTAAATGAGCACCAGCTATGATCTGGGAGGAAGGTATTTACACTCCCCTCCCTGAAGTTCCTGCACCCCAGCATTCCATTGCAGTCAGGTGTGTCCTTCAGCTTTACACTAATTCCAGATGACCCACTCACCATAGCCAAAGGACACAGGTGCCAGGTAAGGACATGCTGCTGGGTGGGACTAGGTAGAAAGTGCACACGCTGGTCCCCCTTATGGCTGGAACCTTCTTCCAGCCCCTGGAAGTTTTCTCCCACTCTGACCGCTCTATTCTAATATCCACACCCTTCCAAAGGGGTCCTCTGGGTGCTTTGCAGGTTATCATACGCGTCCCGGCCACTCCATCTCTGCCGCACGCCCGAGACCCCCGGCTAACGGGGAGCCCCGCGCAGGCACAAATGAGTCCAGTTCATGTTCCTGATCATTGATCCACCATCAATTTTTTCCAAGCCCGGGGCATGCGATTATCTGCGAAGCTGACTTACAAGATAAAATCCCCAGGCCTCTCCCTTCCCCACACCCCCCCACAAGCAGACATTGATTTTACACAGAGTGTGCATGGCTTTGATGGTGTTATTGCAATCAACATGAAAAATACCTCCACAGTGCTTATCCCGACGTCTCAGTTGTTTTGCCTCATAGCACAAGTGATTGTTTAAAGAGGCTTGACACTGTTGGAGTCTTTTGTTTTATGGATTTTGCAAAGCATTGCTCTTTGTCTCCTGGGCAGGCAGAGGAGAGAGCTCTTTTTTCAAGGCAGTGGGCAGTGCTTTTAGAAAATAGGATCTAAGGTGAGCTGAGGCTGAGTCTGGGAGTCCCTTCAGCGCCCACATTTACTCGGCAATGGCTGCTGGACAGGCGGCACTGAATGGGCCTGGGCCTTTCACTGACCCCAGGCCCTTTCTTTCCCCAGCTGTTCTCTGCAATGTTCTGCCATGCTTGCTCCTTGCTGAGCCTGAGCAACTAAATGGGCTTGTGCTGCCTCTTCTCATGCCTTCCTTTCCCCCGGTTCACATCCGATCCCAGCAAAATCCAGCAAGGAAACTTGGCACACACCACGCGCTGGCTCACCCCGCCCCCCCGCCCCCCACTCAGGGAAGAGCCAGAGGCCCAGGCCCTCTCCAGCTCCTCTTCCTCTGCCTGTAAATAACACGTCACTGGTACCCTACCCTGTGTGTCCACCCCTCCCGACAGAAGGGAACCCCAAAAGTAGGACCAAAGGGTGCTTCAGCATCGTGTGTGTGTGTGTGTGTGTGTGTGTGTGTGTGTGTGTGAGAGAGAGAGAGAGAGAGAGAGAGAGATAGCCACACTTGCTAAGGCGTACCAGTGAAGACTTTACCCGAGGGGGAGAGGGTTGCTCGGCCGGTGTCAGCCATGCAATGGGATTTTGCGGTGGGGGCAGGTTGGCCAGGACTCTGAATGTCATGTGGGCATGTGGGAATTTACAGCCAAGGAGCAGGGTGGATGGGAAACAGTTGAGGAAGCACCAGGGATGAGGGGGTTCCTGAATGAACTATGCTAATGGAGCAGGGTGAGCGACACCCCATCGGAGCCATAGAGGAGGAGGAACCATGTGGATATTAGGGTGATCACGTACCTAGAACTGGGGGGGATGGGGTTCTGGTTAGACTGACTTAACAGGGTTCTTTCTAAAACTGGACTTTACAAGGATGTGCATGAGGGTCTCTGAGAAGGTTCAGGAGTCTGACTAAGGTTTGGTCATACAATCAAAAAGTGTGTAATTATTACACTTTTGAGATCTCTGACCTTTAGGGAATATCAATGAGCCCCTCTGGTTCTAATATTCTGTACAAAGCCCAATATAGAAATAATTTTGTGTACAAAATACTTTATGATCGGGGCCTCCCTGGTGGTGCAAGGGGTTAAGTCAAAGCACTATGAAGCTGTCCGCAGCCTCTGCAGCACCAGTTCTATCCCAGGCCAGGGAGTCAACCCACAGGGCGCAGCAGAACTCTCCTGCCTCCCCGCTGCCCCCCTCAGCAGTGTATTTCAGTGGATCTGCCTGTTCTGCTCCCCACTCTGTCTCTGGGGAATCCTCTCGCCCCCTGCACCTCTGGCCTGTACTCCAGCTCTTATATGCATAAATAAATCTTAAAAAAAAAATACTCCATGATCACTAGAAAGCAGACATAGAGAGGGCAAAATTTGACCCTGTAAGGGAGGTAAATAAATATTTTGTCCTTTTAACCTTCAAAATTCTCAGCTGAGGCGAGGCCCCTGTAACAAAAGATCAGTGAACAAGAGAAAATCATGCAAATAATTTACTATACATTTTATGGGGCTGAGGAGCTTTCACGGGAAGTGAAGACCTGCAGGAAGAAGCCTGCATGTTCTCACACTAGGTCTAATGAAGAGTAGAGCATCCCCGGGGAAAAGGAATAGGAGCAAAAGGGGCAGGAACTCGGGGTCAGTTGGGAGCTGAGCAAGGCCTGTTCCTTCCAAGCCTCCATCTTCAGAGATGAGGCTGCTTCTTCCCCGGGCGCTTATCATCTGCTCTAGGGAAGGTCCTTCTGCACCTGGCACTTCTCAGATTCCTCCAAGTTAATCCAGTCGACTGCAGCGCTGGATCCTGGGTAGCATTTTCTGAACCCTGAACCCCGTCAACCTGTTCCTCCTTCACATTGCCTATAGCCATATAACCCGCACCCCAAAATAGGGGGCATCTGGGAAAACCTGAATTTAAAGTGGACCTTACTAAGAAGGCAGCCAGGGGCCAGCAGCATTGATGTTTTTGTTCCAGGGCAGAGTGAGGGGCACCCCAGGGCCCCCAAACTTGCCCACTCTATATAGGTTCTGCCATCCGCTGCATCAAGACAAAACATCCTCTAGACCTTTAATGGAAAGTGTGCAACAAAGAGAAGAGAAAGAATATGGTTTTCAAATAAGCAACCTAAGTTGCCCATCCCCTGCTGCGCACATGCCCAGCCAAACAGGGTTGGCCCAAAGCAAGACCCAAAAGCTTGTCAGAGTCCAAGGCCTCTCCTGGTGGGGACGCATGGGACAGGGGCAGAGGAGGCCAGGCACGCCTGGGTCAGAAGGAGCAAAATCAAAATGAGAGCTGCCATTGTTAACCACACGCCCCCCCTCCCCCAGGTCCCACCCACGTCCGTGTCACCCAGTCCAGGACCAAGAAGCAAGTGCAGCTTCTTCACATGTCTCTGCTCTGTGTGCCTCCTCCAGGTCTCCTCCTGCCTCTCCATCCTGCCTCCTTCCCTCTCCAGCTTTTCTCTCCAGCTTCTTCTCTCTGCTCTGCTCCACCCTCCTTTGGGTGGGGCTGGAAACTGGGATCCTTTTCCCCGGGGACCACCCTGTTTCATTTTTCAGGATCCCTTCTCTCCATTGTCCCGTGTCCTCTGGCCCAGCCCCTCAGTGGTTCGCTCAGAGCTTGCTTAGCACCTGCATCTACCAGGGCAGGCAAACATGCAGGCCTCTCCCTTCCTTGAGCCTCTGAGGAGAACTGGAGCCCCCTGACTTATTTCTGTAGCCTGTGCCTTTGACAGCAGGCCACTCTGACAGCCCCAGCTCCGCCAAGCTCGTGCCCCAAGCCCTGTGACCCCACCCCTGTTTTATTAATAGGGCACCTAATGAGAAGTACCAGCCTGAGTGGCAGCTCCAGAGACACTTGTCGCCTAAAATGTGATATTTGCTCACAGGGGGATTTTGCAGTGGGATAGTTTATAATCTTAAATTTAAATCCTTACTGAATTTCAGAGGTTCCAGTATCAAAATCCTTTTAGGATTCTTCAAAGTGTGTAATCTGTTTAGGATTTAAAAAAAAAAAAATTCCCTGGTCCATTCTTTTTCCAAAAATAGGCTTGCTACACTTTTAACTGCCTTGGGAAGAAAGCAACGCCTTCTTCAAAAAATTAGTTTTGTTGTTTATTTGGCTTAAGGGGCAACTGTTTCTAAGACACCCAATGAAATATTCTTACCGAAATAAAGTGAAACTTTTTCAGGGACTGCAGATAAACCCAGAAGAAACATTCATTTTAAAAGGGATTAAGGGGAGAGAGAAACAAGAAGCTATGTTCAGGAACAGAACTAGAAGTGCACAGAAAAGAAAAACCCACTCTCTCCTCTCTCCTCTCCCTGCAATCCTAGGAGAGAGCTGGCTGGTTGCTCGTTATAATTAAAATTAGAGGGTGGGGAATAAGGGTTCCCTGGAGTCCAGGAGACTTGAATGAAAGAGAGGGAGGGGGCCTGGGGAGGGCAGAGAGGGAA